AATTGCTAACTGTTACAACACAAACATATTACTTACAAGGCCCCAGCCCTTTGGCTGGGGTTAAGTCAGAGCTGGTACTACATCTTAGGTTCAGTCAGTTACAGGCAAAGGGACAGAGTTTTCTCCTCCATGTGGTTTTATTCAGTGTAAGTAGGCTGGCCTGTGATGTCACTGCCAGAAGCACATGTCTTCCTACACACTCCCTCTAGTGGTGCCCCCAAAGCATTACACTAAATATGCTTTCTTTATGATGTAAAGTCATTAATTAGTAAATACCATTACAGGAATGTACACTATGTGTTGGTCTCTCAGATCTTTTGGAACAGGAGTTCATCTGAGACCCGATCGGTAATGTGAATAAAGGCCTGTTACTTCCTGAAGACCTGTGTCCAATATTTCTGTGTTTGGCTTCTGCATGCTTACACTGCAACATCTCTGGTGCATTAGCGGCCGGGAACCTCATTTGCATGGAAGCTAGCGCAGAGATTTGAGACGGTAAACTTTTACCAAACCTTCTACGCTACAATCCTGGACTTCTACTGCGTGGACCTCCTTTCGTCTCGGCGCCACTGGCCTTTTGTCCAGGAGATCATCGGCTTCTGCGCAGTGAGTCCCGGATTGTTCCATCTATGAGTGAACCCAGGTCCAGGAATTAACAGGTAAGATTGATACCGTTAGAGCGGTAGACCCACAAGGGGTTTTATATTTGGAACCGGTTATTGGAATCTGCCCTGTCCTTATGGATGGAAGAAGTGAAAAGCGCAACACTTATCTGGAAATTAGACGCTCTGTAGTCAGCCCGTCTAATATAGGTGGTTTGGGTCAGACTGAGTTCTGGTGTAAATAGCTCATGTCGGACACCGGTGTCCTGTCTTGACTAGCGTATCTAGGGTGTAAATTTTGTTCGCTAGGTCGGGGGGACCGGGAGACTAGCATACTCTGTTGTATATTATAGTTTGCTAGATTTCACCCTATCTTAACTAAGTGTGCTCTGTTGTAAATCCAGCCACTAGCTTATTGATAGTTTAATAGACTAGCTGGGTACTGTGTAAATTCTGCCCTCTAGTTCGCTATACGTGGTGTCTGGGCAGCGAAGAACTTATCGAATCTCTGGTGTATAAATAGATCGAAAGCTCTCGAGGTGCTGGCCAGTTAGAATAGTTGGGATTATTGTAAATGTTGTTAAATATATTGTAGTTGGTGAATTGGTTAACTTGTATGTCCTACTAGAAAGTTAGAGCTCTGCTGTCTAGTGGGAGTGTAAATTGTGTGTATAACTGTAAAATAGCGCACGGTACCATAACTACTGACATGTACCATAACCACTGACATTGTGTAAAAATTACTAACAATTGCTGTTTTATGTTATATGTATAATACCATAACTGTTACTAACTGATCTGTGACTTTAAAACTGTATTATAACCACTTACTAACTGTACCATAACCACTGACTGTAAAGATGAGGTTACTAGAATGTGATATAGTTGGTTAGTCAAAAGTTGATTTATAGTACGGATAATTGTAGAGATGAATTTGTTGAAATGTTATGTGATCGGTTAGTTTATATGGATTAATAGCGTGGATAGTTGTATGGTTTGAATAATAGTTACATTGATAAGTGTATAGTCTTTGGTGGGTTTTTGATTTAATTTCGTGTGTGCGACGTCGTGATATTGTTGAGCATGTGAGGATCCTGTGTGTGTGTTTGGGCCTAGTGACTGCGCAATGTGTTGCTGGTGATAAGGAGATTGGTGTGACTGTTGAAACTGTGTGTATATTTGTACAGCTTTTTGAATCAGACGTTCTGTTGAAATAATCTGATTCACTAGGCTGTTAGTCTTTTGTCTTGTATGTTTTCAAAAAAAAAAAAAAAGAGTAGGGAGTAGCCTGTCCTGGTGGCCGCATGGCCTCCATGTAGCAGTCTTCACTTAAATTTAGTGCAGGGTGTACATGTGGCTGTAACTAGTAGGCTGGAATTCTATGATCAGTTTCTATATATTGACTGTTGGAAACTGATTGTTGAAAAACTGCCTTGGTGAATTAAACTGTGTCATATGAGAAACAATGTAGCCATATGGTGGTCAGAACTAAGGACTTAATTACAACTGCTTTGGACATCCCCTCCCCCCTGGCATCTGATTACCAACCCCCCAAACATCCTCCAGAGCCAGATTAGCCACGCCCCTATTCTTCTTCCCAAGCTAAAAACTGGTATATAGTCAGTATTTGCACTCCCCCTGCTCTACTGTCCCCGCCTACCCACATACCTATCTGTTCCTGTGTTTCAAACTCTTGTATTTCTGTACTACCCCTCCCCCTAATCAATGATCAATGGTATCAGATGGTATATTGGTTTTTTTTTTAGTTACTGGATGGGCCCCTCCCAGCTTTGTCCAAAATGTCCCCTTTTACTAAACTACAAACTGAAATGTTTAATTTACCTTAGAACTAAAGATTTAATCAAGCCTAGCTAGCAGGGTGGACATTGATTAAAATAAGTAATAATAAAATAGGACATAATTAATTAAAGTCTATTTGTTTCATTTGACTTTAGGGAGGCACTCTAGGCCACCTACTGGCCATCTTCGGGAGTTACATTGATAATACATTGTTTATAACAGATAGAAGTAGGATTGCTTACCCTATTTTAATATATTTATTGCTATAAGGTTTTATTTTATGTATGAATATATTAAAAGTTAAGTTTTCTTATTAGACCCATAAAGATTATTTTGATACAATTACCCTCTGGTGACACCTACTGGTAGGTTTTTGGTTTAACACTTTAAAAAAAAACGTTTTTTCATCCACCAAATGCTGACTAATAAAATTAGTCCCCCTTACACCTATCTTACTACTCCTAGACTGGAACCTATTATTGAGCAGCCTTGTCGAAGTCCCATATTAGACACTGCTTGAGTCAAATAGATTGTACACTCCTTTCAATCCTGAAAACTTCCGAATGATAGACTCAGCATTTGTCAGCCAGGCCCAAGGTGATATTAAAAGGAAATTACAGAAATTAGAGGGATTTGTAGGGTTGTCCATATTACAGCTAATGGAGATTGCAAATACAGTATATATGAATAGGGAGATGGAGGAAGAACGTAAAATGAGGAAAAAGGCAGATATGCTAGCGGTAGCTATCTTAAGTGTAGAAAGACAGGGAAGTGAATAGAGGAGACGAGAATAGGCTGAGCAAGGGACTTTAAGTAGGAATTAATGTGCGTATTGTAGAAAGGAGGGACATTGGAAGAGTGAGTGTCCACAGAGAGAGCAGTATGAAGGTGATAGACAAGGAGAGAGAAGGGTACGAGGAGGTTATAGTGGTAGTTATAGAGGAAGAGGAAGTTTTAGAGGGAATGATGGGAATAGTAGAGGAAGTGTTCAAGGAGACAGATACTATCCACCCACGCAGAGACCTAGAGAAAGAGAGGATAGAGATTTTGTGGGTCTGGCTGACACTATCATGGAAGACTATTGATACCGACCGGGCTCCATCCCACTTGGTCGAGCGTAGCCTATGGTCGATGTAGCAATAGGGGGAAAGAGAAGTTCTTTCATGATCGACACAGGTGCTGAACATTCTGTGGTGACTAAGATGGTGGCTCCGCCTTTGGGGAAGACTATAACTGTGATAGGAGCTACTGGGAGAAGTGCAGCTAGACCGGTTCTTAAGAGTCGCACTTGTATTCTGGGAGGCCATGTGGTGAAGCATTAGTTCCTATATATGCCAGAGTGTCCGATTCAACTTTTAGGACGAGATCTATTATCGAAGCTTTAAGCTCAGATAACCTTTTACCTAATGGATTAACATCTCTGAAGTTTAAGGGATTACCAGGCATAATGGCGATATCGGTGCCAAGGGAAGAAGAATGACGCTTCTATTCCATAGTGACAAGTGTTAACCCTAAGAGTGATGAATCCTTACTTGACATTCCAGGAGTATGGGAAGAAAATAATCCTCCAGGACTTGCTCGTAATATCCCACCAATACATATTGAGTTAAAGCTCGGGGTGTATTCTGTTAGCCTTTGTATGTTGTTCTTTTATCTACCACAACAGCTGTAAAGGTGGCGGAAGTGACTCCTTGGATTCATCATTCTAAGGTTAAACCAGCGGCAGACTCTTGGCAAGCTACTCCAGATCCTGAGAATCCTTGCAGGACCCGGTTGAAGCGTGCAACTCAGTCGGAGTGACGAGGGGATATCGAGACATTCTAGTTAAAAGTCTACAAAGATCATCAAGTAGGTGTTTTGGCGGCCATAATAAAGCCTGACCACCTGCCTACGTGTCATAGCCAGAGTATCTTGAAGGGATCTCTGTGAAGGAAAGTGAGGATCAGAAGAACAACATCCTTGCAGCCCTCACAATCGGGAAGCTGAGAGGCCATCGCACGGTCGAAGAAAAATGAGGATTTCAGGAATAATGTGTTTTATTGTGTCTTAGTATTTTTATGATTTTTCAGGAAGGTAGGAGTACAGACATACCGAATTGCGATAGTTGCATTAAGACTACTAAAACAGGTAACCAAATATCCCAAACTCTCATCTGGCACTCACAGTATGAATGTAAGGGATCTGTATCTAAATGTAGACATTTGGATATTGATTATAGTGTGTGCAAGCCAATATCAGGAGAGTCTAAATGTTTTGATCCCCATTTCCAACCCCGTACAATTTGGTTGGTAATTCGGAATAGTAACTCCCAGGGGACATTAATAAATAGGACTGTGATAAGCACCATACATTCCACGGGTATTCTACTATTTGATGCATGTAAGGCGATTTCGGGTAGTGGAAGACTTTGGAATGTATGTGGTAATCTTAAATGGGAACGAACTTATGGGTTTAATGATAAATACTTATGTCCCAGTAAAAGATCTACTGATCCTGATTGCCCAAATAGAGACTAACTTCTGCCCCTATTGGTCATGTGTAGGTTGGGCAACCTGGGAAAAACAGTGGATCAAGATATGATTATCCAAAGGTTGCCTACCACACCATACTGTAAAACTATGTGTGTAACCCCGTTCACATGACCATTTCCAATCTGCAGTACTTTATTGACAGGTTTGGAGGTCTGTTTGGGTTCCAAATATATGGCACAGGAGTAGATCCAGGAACAATAATATATGTAGGTCTTGAAATTGAGACAGTGGCAACTCAAACTCATCAGGTTTCTCATTCCTTCTATGAGGAGATGAGTATTGAGGATAAAATTCCCCATAATGTTAACAACCTATTTATTGATTTGGCTGAGGGTATTGCAGGTAGTCTTAATGTAACTAATTGCTATGTGTGTGGAGGTACTAATATGGGAGACCAGTGGTCATGGGAGGCAAAGGAAATATGGTACCCTGGCTCTGAGACATATGAACAACAGATACCTTTCCAGTCTGATCATCAAGTAAGTACTAGAAGTAAATTGGAATGGTGGTTGAAAACCTCCATTATAGGTCATGTTTGTATAGCCAGGAAAGGGACAATGTATAACACGTCTGTAGGTGAGCTAACTTGCTTGGGACAAAAAGCCTATAATGTTAATACTAAAAATACTACTTGGTGGTCAGCTTCAAATGTCTCGGAACCTACTAATCCGTTTGCCAATTACACTCATTTAAGGGAGGTATGGTTTGACTTATCGGCTACATCTAGTTGGAAAGCCCCAGCAAATTTATACTGGATTTGTGGTAAGAAAACTTATTCGGAGTTACCACAAGATTGGGAAGGGGCATGTGTATTAGGTATGCCAAAGCCATCCTTCTTCTTGTTGCCAATCAAAACAGGAGAGACCTTGGGAGTTAAGGTTTACGATGTAAATCATAAAAGGGAGAGAGCATCCTTGAATATAGGTAGCTGGGAAGATAATGAGTGGCCCCCTCAACGTATTATTAATTATTATGGACCTGCTACTTGGGCAGAAGATGGCACTTATGGATATAGAACTCCGATTATATATGCTCAACCGCATTATTAGACTACAGGCGGTAGTTGAGATTATTACTAATGAGACAGCTCAAGTGCTTAATCTTCTAGCTAAGCAAAATACCAAGATGTGATCAGCCATATACCAGAATAGGCTAGCCCTTGATTACTTACTAGCAGTAGAAGGAGGTGTATGCGGAAAGTTTAATCTAAGTAACTGTTGTCTGCACATAGATGATGAAGGGAAGGCAGTGGCTGAACTTACAAGCCACATGGTTAAATTTGAGCATGTACCTACTCAGGTCTGGAATGGGTATAACCTAAGTAGTTGGTTTGGAAGTTGGTATGAGCAGCTTGGAGGAATTAAGACATTAGTAGGAGGAGTAGAATTTATTATATTTTTTGTGCCTCCTCCTGCCCTGTCTAATTCCACTAGTGGTAAGGTCCCTACGTAGTATTATAGAGAGTACTATAGAGAGAAAGACAGCGGCTCATGTAATGGCTGTCTGGAAGATATGATCCCCTAGCCCGAAGAGAATATATTCAGGATGAAGAATGTTGAAGGAGTTTTTAAGATGCTTACAAGGTCTACTCTGGTTCAATGGCTACTTGAGAGATGTAGGTAAAACTGTGATTGGTGATGCATCTGGAATAATGTTATATCAGAGGCATCAAAGGGGGGAATGTGATGGGATTCCAGCATGGTCAAAATTTAGTAGGCCAAAATCTCCATGTGGCATATGTGTATGTTGTGTCAGTTGGTTAGCTACATGTAGCTAGGATACTGTCATCAGTGTACTGAGCATGTGCAGGAATGCAGGAACTGAAATTGCACTTATTTCCTTTGTCTTGGATGAGCCATGTGGTTTGACTAGATGTACAAGTCTATATTCTGCTCATTGATTGGTTAAAGGTATATGTGGGTGTAGCTATTAATGGGAGGAGTTATAGTGCTATATAAGGAATGTACACTATGTGTTGGTCTCTCAGATCTTTTGGAACAGGAGTTCATCTGAGACCCGATCGGTAATGTGAATAAAGGCCTGTTACTTCCTGAAGACCTGTGTCCAATATTTCTGTGTTTGGCTTCTGCATGCTTACACTGCAACAAAGGGTGCATAGGGTCTATGCTGTGTGTAGGTGGGTGAGATGTGAAAATCTATCTTAATATCTCCCCCTGCCTTCTTCTTACCTTTTACCAGGAAGGGGGGACATAATGCTGCATGCCCTGGTTGTCCAGTGGTTGCATGTTCACTTTAGCCTGCAGTTCCTTCGGCTGTAAGCTAACTCTACTGTCCTCCTGCGAGCACAGCACTGTATCAGAGAGTTGCCATGATAACATGTTGCAACGTTCTGACTAGCCTGCTCGCAGGAGGAACACAGAGTCTCCCAGGCCCTTCCCTCCCTCTGCTGGAAATAAGTGCCAGCGGGCTGGTGAGGGAGATCTTTGACAGCCTTTGACAGCAAGGCTGGCTCTGCATGGGCCGGCAGGGGAGATGAAAGGATCTTCCCTGCCAGCCTTGGTCCACGGCCATCGAGGCCCCCCGGGCATTTTCTGCAGAACCCACCACCGCCCACCTGAAATCCCAAACCGCCCACTAGTGGGCAGTAGGGACCAGGTTGACAACCCATGGCCTAGATGGATACTGAAAAGGCCCCTCTGACACACATTATCAAAAAGCTCCTATAACATACTCAAAAGTGTATCTCAACCCTCCTGTCTAGATAGGTACTAATATAAGTGCCATTGCCGATAAAGTAACAGCTTGTTTATCCGGAAAGCTGTTCAAATAGATGTAGCCAGACCATGGGGCCAAGTTCAGAGACTGGAGCAAAAGTAACTAGCTGAAAATATCCTCCAAATCTATCAGAGACTAACAGGCTGCATCAAGAACCTAGCCTAGCTAAAAGGAAAAACGTCTAAACTCGACGCGCGTTTCAGCTCTCTCAGGCGCCTTTTTCAAGAGTGTTTCCATGCCGGGTGCTTACCCGGTCTTTTAAAGGGAATGGGATCCGCCTTCGAAGCCATGTTTAGTTTTAGCCTCGCCTAATCATTATGACATCACACGGATGGAGACTGAATAGGTACAATTGAAGGAGCTCAAAAAAAAAAAAAAAAAAAGCTTGAAATCTAAAGAGCTGGAAAGCCCAGGGTAAGTATAGACAGTATATTATGTTTGCAATTAACATCCACTTAACCCTTGGGAGTTAAAAGTTCTAAGCCCTGGGATCCTGCATATTAATGGACAAAAATGGAAACATCAAAATAAAATAGTAAATCATATATTGAGTGTAACGGATCGCCTGGCACCCCGACTGGGTACCTCCGTTGAAGGATGCTCCTAGCGCTTCCTGAGGACTCCAAGCACTCTGGCAGACACCAAAACCACCGAACCGTAGGAGCATATGAATGCTCTCAAGCATATGAATGCTGTAGACAGTTGAATAGGAACCATACGAATAGGTTTACTCTCCTAGCAGTCAAACTGGAACAGCATACAATAAATCCTTCCCCCAATAATGAGACGACACTTCACTTTGAGGGTTAAAACAGGAACTCCTGTACTGTCACATACAGTCTCTTTTATTCCCAATCCACAAACATAGTACAGCCCACAGGGCATTACAAAACAGCCAATCAATCCATACAATACACCCAGACACTCCCACACAAAATCCTCCCCTCTGGCTGTGATATGATTACTGAACACAATGGGTAATCTAATTATCACAGCCAGAGAAATACAGTTTCATAAAACACATCACAGGGACCCCAAAACATGCAATAACCCCATAAAAAGTATATCCTTGGAACTGGGGGATCTGGGTGAACCACATATCCAAAATTCACCCAGATCCGTTCAGTACTTTGGAAAATACAGTTTAATGCAGATTCTGCAGAACATATACAGGCTAAATAAAAAACAATCACTGTATAATGTGTCCCCTGCTGTATAGTCCAAAACCACCGCACGATGTCTCTGTGCAACAAATACTGGCGAGATGGCACCGTGTTGAAATGTCCACACAGTGTCTGTGAGTTAAAATGGCCGCCATCCATTGTTCTCACCATGTGCTTCTGATACAGGAAATGGTGGCCACCCAGTAACTCCACAGTATGTCCCCAGATGGTTCTTAAAAGGGATAGCAGCAGCACAACACAAATCCATTATGCCCAAATCATGTCTTTAAAGGGCAATACATCCCAGGGGCCATAGTCACATGGCAGGAGGCTGGCAACCAGGCTTCTCCAGTGCATAGTGGCGAGGTTGGTTCCGCCACATTGAGATACAGAGTTGCCATGTTACCAATAAAGATAATATAAAGTATCTAATATCTAAAGGATATGTAACATCATATGCTGCTTGTTATTAAAGGCTTAAGACAAAATTATGCTATTTATTTAAGATATTAAAGATATTAAACCTGACAAAAATTATTGTCACAGCTATTAAATGTAACTGCATAGTTGGACTGTTACATGAGCCATAAATTAAAAAAATAGGTCATCATCTGATGTAATTCCTTCTCCATCTATCTAGTTATTAATCCAAAATATATACTTATTGTGTCCTTAGAAATTGATATTACATTTATAACTAGAAAATGATGAATAGGAATGAAAGGAGCAAAAATCTTTATCATATCTTTCTTAAACTGTTAGAATAGTGTAATCCTTAAAGTGAAAGTAATAATAAGTAACCAGTGAAAAGAAATAAAAATGAAAAAATATATAACCCTTTAGAGTTTTGATGTGGGCTTAACCAGTAAAACATAACTGGAGTAAGATGCTACCAGGGCCGGTCTGGCCCACCGGGATACCGGGAAATTTCCTGGTTGGCCGCGGCACCTAGGGCTGGGCTGACAGCCCTAATCATTGCTCAGGCTCCTGTGATCCCGGCCGGCTATGTGTGAGCTGTGCGGCCACACAGAGCCCCATGGGAGCAGGGGGAGCCAGGTTGCCGGCACAGTTAACACATGGCCGTCCAGGATCATTAAAAAAAAAAAAAAATGCTGCTGGGCGGAGTTACCGTGCAGCGGGGCAGGGCTTAGCGTGCGGCGGCGGCCTGGCTAACTGCAGCATGGGAAGCAGGAAGGAGTCCCTGCTTCCCCAACAACCAGCCTCCAGGAGTTCCAAGCAGGAGGTAAGAAGCAGGTCAGCAGGGCCGGACTGGCCCACCGGGATACCGGGAAATTTCCCGGTGGGCCGTCGGCACCTGGGGCCGGGCAGACACCTGGGTCTGCTGGCGGCCGCTGGAGGAGGTCTGCTGGCGGCCAATGGAGGGGGTCTGATGGCGGCCGCTGGGGGAGCTGTTCTGTCTATGCTCCCCAGCGCGCAGCTTAATGAGACTGCGGCCGGAATATGACATCATATTCCGGCCCCGGTCTCATTCAGCAGCGCAGCTCCTCCAGC